TTTGACTTTGGGGAAGACCCAGAAGTTCCAAGGTGCAAGATCTGGTGAGCACGGTGGATGAAGTGGCACCTTCCTGTTGGATGTCACTTGGTAGTAGCATTCACCAAATTCTGATCACCTCTTGTAAAGACACTAAAGAAGACACCCAGAACTGCTTCAGAAAGTGTCGAGAACAGTGGATCTGTCTGAAGTGAGGGGGATTAATGGCAGTGTGGCTTCTACTATAATAATTTTTTATTGCAGAGCAATTCAGTGGGAGGGATACTTTCCACCTAGGTCCACCCAGTTGGCGTTCCACACATAGAAACCCAAGTCCATCCCCATTTTAACTTGTGTCTGAGGATTACTCCCAGAAGACTAAAATCAGCACCAAAGAAATTGACTAATGGAGCCAATTAGTGTAATGTCAAGGTCATTTCAACTCATTAGGCCACTTCTAAATTTCACTTGTTATTTGCAGTTGAAAGAGTATACTTTCCCACATTCCTTACAATGCACTAACAGGATTAGATATTACACTGAGGGCTCCAGAAAGAGACCGTATGCATGATAATCAGACTTCAGTGCCAGTCTATACTTTATGACACCCTTTGCCGCACTTAGAAGCAGGATGTTATGTATTATTTTGCACATCTTCCTAATGAGAGGGAGTTCTTATGTGGAATTTAAAAAAAATTGAAGTCAGGTTGCATTTAAAAAGCTGAACTGGGTGGGTCAGGCTTGCTAGTGTTTAAAAAATGTGAACAACATCCTTAATATAGTATTTGTGACTAACTCAGTGGGTGTGAGCCCCTTGGGAGAACAGTAAGTTCAGTTTCTGTGGATTTGAAAAGTTAGAGGTTAGAACTCTAAATTACCCAAGGTTTTGTTTAAAAAGAGGCTGGAAATTTGGCATTTGAAGACCTTTAGTTTGAAAAAGAAGTTTAATGAACAAATCAGATGAAACGGAATCTTTGGTTAGTTTATTCGTCTTACTTTTCTGTAATTCTTACAGCGAATACAACACACATCCCACAGAATCAGTTCTCTGTACAACTTGTGCCATTGGGTGGTGTTGGGGCTCTGAGCTCATGGCCAAGGCCCAGATATACTTTACAACAGCAGTGGCGAACCTGTGGCATGCGTGCCACAGGGGCACACAGGGGCCTCTGCCAGCACGCGCGCCAGGTCGCCCCAGCAGCCGAACACTGGATAACAGTTGGCTTTTCTAAATCAAAACCTCAGTATTTGGGTTTAACTGCAGTGCTGGCACTTTGTGATAAGTAAGTGGGTCTGGGGTTGCAGCTTTGGCCCTTGGTCTCTAAAAGGTTCACCATCACTGCTTTAGAAGAATCACTAAAGTACAATTATTTGATCCGTTGATCACAACATGCATCAGTCATTTTCTCAGCACTTTATCAACATCACATTTATCTCCCACTATAGGTTGTTGGGTAGGCACTGCTATCATTTGTGGGGGGGACTCCAGAGGTTGAACCCAAGGTGTTCTACCACTGAGCTACATCCCTAACGCTTTTGTTTTTTCTCTCTTTACTTTTTTTTTTTTTTTTTTAAAGATAGGGTCTTGCTAAATTGCCCAGGCAGTTGTTGAACTTGGGATCTTCCTGCCTTTGCCTGGCTAAATGTTGGGATTACAGGAATGCATCACCGTGCCTGGCTATCAATCCCATTTGGTAGGAGAGAAGACAAGGACTCATAAATAGCCAATCCAAAGTGACACAGTCTACAAGGAATAGAGCTACAGTGAAAACCTGCATTGTGGTACACACTTGTAATCTCAAGTGCTTTGGGAAGTTAAGGCAGGAGGGTACCAAGTTCAAGCCCAACCGGAGCAATTTAGCCATTTAGACCCTATCTCAAAATTTTAAAACAGCTGAGGAGGTAGCTTAAGGTGAAGGCCATGGGTTCAATCTCCAGTAGTGGCGGGAGGTGGGTGAAGAGGAAAAAGAACCACCAGATGTGATGCTGCACTCCTGTAATCCCTGAGCTCAGGAGGCTGAAGCAGGAAGATCACCCTCAGTTTGAGGTCGGAGTAAGCTACACAAGCAGGTTCGAGGCCAGCCTACACTATGTAGTGAAACCCTGTCTCAAATAAATAAATAAATAAAATTTTAAAAAGGAAAAAGAAAAAAAAGAACCCAAGCTGGCTGATTCCTAGTCATAGTCTGTGTTGCTTCATCGGACCTATGTTCAACATGTCACAAACACACATCTGCCTGTGCTTACATACAAAGGAGATTGTGGAGCTGAGGCAAATATTCACCACCCTTCTTAATTCACCTTTCCAGTGCAACTTTAAAAGGCACCTCTTCCAGTAACTGCTAGCCTGATCACACAACAGCAATGAATAGAACGGCTGAAAAAATACAACCTCAACCCAAAGGTAAACTTGAGGCTTGAACTGCACAAGTGTATGGTGTCGCCTATCCAGTTAGAGATGACTCCAAACTATCTGAAGGTTTGCCTCTTTGGGCTTCTGAATCTTGATTCTCCTAAGCAGATAAAGTCTACTGTTGTCTACTGTTGCGGCGCTTGAATTTTGAGCCGAGATTACCGGCGTGGGCCATCACACCTAGCTATGTATTCTTTGCTTCTTACATGGCACCTTTGAAAGGGAAAGGTTTACTTTATTCCGCTTGACCAAGGGGCACATGGACGCGGTACACAGCACGTACTCAAAAGTATTCACTGCTCATTAACTAAGTGGAGTTGTATTTAAAGTTGAAATGAAAACAAGAAATTAAGGCCTCCAAGTTCCAACATGAGCTACTTGTTCAGGATTTCTCAAACTGAGCACGGTTTCTATGTTTTAACTATGAGGGGGTCATCCGGATATCCGTTTCCTTCCAACGTCACAGCCAGGTTCAGAGTTTGAAAAAAAAAAAAATCTGAAGTTGAAACAAAAATGACGCAGTGAGATAAAGGTTCTATTCCTGTGATTAAAACAGTGGTCCGTACACACTATATCAGCGACTTGCGATCCTTTTCAGTGGCAGATTTATCATTAACGACTGAAAGAAAAAAAAGTCAACTTACTGGCGTGACTGCTGATAGCCTTGATCTGCTCCTAAACACAGTAACTGTGGAATAACATCAGAATGTTAGCAGCAAAAAAAAAAAAAAAAGCAAAATTTAAGAAGTAAATTTGCCTCAACTTCACCAGTAGGTGTCGCTGTTCAAACGTACCGGTAACAGCTTTTCCCTAGAGTTGCGTGTAAAAAGTCCGATAGAAAACAAACAATTTTGAGTCAGTCTACAACTTGCTCAAACCCACAGAATGTGAAACCCACTCTCTAAGTTTATAATTTAAAATAGAAACTGTTCGTGGCAAAACAGTTATTAGAAAATCATTATACGCTCAGGGGTGGCATACCTACAAATGATCCAAATTTAACTTCAAAATATTAATTACATTTTAAGAATTTTTTAAATAGAAAGGATTCCCTAATAGAACAGGTCTGCTTTTTCACTAAAAAAGAAGCGCTGGGTTTTTAAGGGACGAGAAAGACACCGAGCTCAGTCTAGCTGATTACTGACTGAATAAAGCAACCCGGTTCACCCCATCGCACCCCGCAAATACTCCCTGCCCCCGCAGCACGCCCTCCCCCTCGTGCACAGACAGACAGACAGGCCAAGCCTGTCCATCCTTACACAGAAACTTCAAAGTTCAAGGTCCTCGAAGGGACCGAGCCTGTGATCCTCAGCGGAGACGAGCAAATAGAATGCATTATTCTCAACGGGAGGGGCTTGGGGACCCCAGGGCGGGCCGGGGGGTCAGCCCCGCGGGTTTCCTATCCCGGGCTGCACGGGGCTGCGATTCGCGTCCTGCGAACGATCCTGGGGCGACGGTCCGCGGGCTGCTCAGTAACTTCAGAGCGAAGTCAGATCGCGCCCAAAGAAGGCCGCTTCCTCGGGGCACGCGTGATTCGTGAACGGGCAGAGGAGCTGTGTAAGCAGCCGGCCGACCCGCTGCCCCGCTTCTGCAGGAAGCGCCCGAAAACCGCAAACTGCGCCGCTCCCCGGCCAGCCCAGCCCGCGGAGTCTTTCCGGTGAGCGCCGAGCTCCGTAGGGCTGTGCTGGTTTCCGCCAGAAAAAAACAAAACAAAACAAAACACAAAAACGGTTCTCATTTTTCCAGGCGTGGTGTTCGCGGTTTAAACAGTGACAAAAGACTGCGGTGGGCACTAGTGCTGTGCTCGGTGTAAAAACGACAGAAAACGCAACTACCAGGAGTGGGGTTCGAACCCACGCGGACATATGTCCATTGGATCTTAAGTCCAACGCCTTAACCACTCGGCCATCCTGGTACAGGCAAACACCTCTTCAACAACGTTTCTTACAAGGCGGACTCCTGCTCCGCGCTCCCTACCGGAGGAATCCCGGCGCCGCCAGCCTGCCCTGCCGCGGCGGGAAAGCTCGCTCCTCTCCCAAACTCCCAGCTGCCCCGGCCCCGCTTGGCGGCGGCGAAGGCAACTGCAGCGGCGCCGCGCGCTCTCGGCCCGGACGGCTCGGGGAGCACAGCTCGGGCTCCTCCAGTTCAGCTCTCGATTTCAAGGCGCGCGGGCGCCGCAAACCAACACTGGGGCCGACTTCCAGGTTCCCGGGCGGGCGTCTGCGGCGCGGGCGGGCGGCGGGGCGGAAGCCGGAGCGGATGGCAGGGAGCCTCGCGGGTGTC